TGAGCCTCCCTTCGTGTACCCCCCCAAACACAACTCACAGTGAGGACAGAAGTCCCTCACCCAGTCCCAATCTTATTACACTATGTGACCTTGTTGCACAAGGGGACTCCTGGAGGCCACCCGAGGAATCCCTCCCTTTCACCTGCTGGGCTGCCTCGCTTCCCGTGCTCTGCCTCTCCCTCTCTCTCCGTCCGCAGATCCTGGCCCGCGTCTTCAGCCATGCCGCCCTGGAGGTCTACCTGCCCCCAATCCAGCGCCTGGTCAGCTGGGAACTGCGCGGTTGGCGTCACCGCCCGGGGCCCGTCGCTGTCTACGCCTCAGCCAAGGCTTTGACTTTCCGCATTGCTGTGCGGATCCTGCTGGGCCTCCGGCTGGAAGAGGAGCAGTTTGAGGAGCTTTCCGGGGCCTTCGAGCAATTGGTGGAGAACCTCTTTAGCCTGCCGCTCAACGTCCCCTTCAGTGGATTGAGGAAGGTACCTGAGGGCTGGGAAGGTGGGACACCCACACACACACACACACACCCTTTCCTCAATGGCTCTGGAGTTCTACTTAATCAGAATAGAGCTGGAAGGGACCTTGGAGGTCTTCTAGTCCAACCCCCTGCTCAAGCAGGAGACCCCTCACCAGGGACCCCCAAACTTGGCAACTTTAAGACTTGTGGACTTCCAACTCCACAAGTCTTAAAGTTGCCCAAGTTTGGAGAGCTGCCTTATGCATGCGCAGTGCCTTGCCTTCCACTGGCAGCAAGACTTCCAAACGGCGGGCAGTGGGTGGGAACCAGGGGTTCTGCCTATAATGTACAAGTCAAGTTTCATATCTGCTCCTCCTCTTGGATATAGTGTAGCTGTTGTTTGCTGCTTTATTCTTTCCAGTGCTTCTTGATCTTCTTGTGAATAGTTTTTTTTTTTAATTTTCTTGTTCCTCTTCTTTTCTTTCATCTGTTATAGCTTGCTTGCATCTGATCTTAGCATGCTGATCCTATTTGATCTTTTATTTTGGTACTGCACTCCTTGGCTTTTTTTTCTTCTTTTTTTGCTGATATTGCACGCCAGGTATTCAGTCATAACAGCAGCTGTGCTGTGCATTAGTCGGTTTGTTTCTTGCAATGAGCTGGTTCTTTTGTTTGATGTTACAGTATTGGCACTTTATAATACTTATGTTACTAGCTGATTCTGTAGAGCAAACTTCAATGCAGGCAACTTTATTATGTTGTTTTTGTATCATTCTAGGTGCTCAGTTATTCTTTGCTTTGATTCTTTATAGAGGATTTTGTTCTTTCTGAAAGGTCAGAGTAATGGGTGCCTGGTTTGGGATTGAAAATAATTAAATAGCTATTTGGGCTTCCATTATTGTTGACTCCCCTTGGTTTTCCTTCACGGTTTCAGCTACTTCTGGCAGAGCTTTGATTTCTTTGCCCTTGGAGAACCTTTGCAGTTCTCCCAATTCCACTTCTGTGAAAAGAATGTTTCACATTATTTTCCCTGTTGTTATGGTTTGGTCACACTGTCAGCCAGATGTTTAGACTGGGTTTAGCATTCCAGCTATTGAATCCTTTCCAAGGACCTGGGATAGGAAGATGATGTTGGCTGATGGTGTTACAGACATAATTGCATGATGCAAGCTGTTCCAATAAAGCTGAATTTTGCAATTTTGGTGATTTTGTCAGTGCAGATGATGTTCAAGTGATGCCCCACATGTTTTGGGATTTCACTATTACTATTGGTATTGTCTTTACTTTCTTTTGTCATAGCTGTTCCACTTCTATTTGTTAGGTCGTTGTATTATGTGATTTTCTTCAGTTCTTTTCTATTTTAGTTTTTCTTATAAGCCAATTTGGTCTCTTCTGTATTCACTAAGCCTTGATGTCCTATTCTCCTCCTCCTCCTCCTCCTCCTCTTATTATTGTTATTGCTATTATTGTTACATTTTTTCATTAAACATGACAGTCAACTGAACATTTAAAAATGTAACACAAATATTGACTGGCTCTGATACGGGTTGCTGCCAGCATCCTAGGTATCAACCAAGTATCATCATCATCATCATCATCATCATCATCATCATCATCATCATCATCTCCTTCTTCCCCTTCTCCTTCTTCCTCCTCCTCCTTCCTCCTCTTCTTCCTCCTCCTCCTCTTCCTCTTCCTCTTCTTATTGTTGTTGTTGTTGTTAATCTTTGGTGAGATTCACAGCTTTTGGGGCTGGTTGGTAGCTCAACAGCTCGAGTCCTAACCAAGGACCTAGGAACTGTTAAGGTAGCATCAGAGGATATAAACTGTTCCAAGTAGGGTGGGTTTTTTTAGAATCAGGGTATTCAATGAGTCTGATAAATTCAGAATTTCCAAATACTGAGGTAGCCCATTGGCTCCAAGGGCTCCAATTACCATTGGGATAACACACGATTTCTTTTTCCAAAGTAGCTCAACTTCAGCTTGTAAGTCCTGGTACTTCTGTGATTTTTTTCTTGCTGCTTGTCTTCAATTCGTGCATTGCCAGGTATTGCAATGGCAATGAACCAAACCTTTTTCTTTTCAACTATTGTTATGTCAGGTGTGTTGTGGGCCAAGTGCCTGTCAGTCTGAATTCTGAAGTCCCACAAGATCTTGATTTTTTCATTCTCCAGAACCTTCTCAACCTGATGTTCCCAGTAGTTGTTACTATACTCAAATCCAAACTTTTGGCGCAGTTTCCAGTGAATGGTTTTAGCAATTCGGTTATGGCATTCTAGATAGTCAGTTTGTGAAATTTTGCTGCACCCACTGATTAAATGGTTGTTGTTATTAGTATTAGTATTATTTTTATTATGTTCCATTCCTGTTCTAATCTATAGCTTAATTAGGATAGGATCTGCTTTGGGCTATTTGTATGCCACTCTCTTTCCATAGTTTCCCAATCCTCCCACCCCTATTATTGGAATGTGGGTAAAGCCCAGTTCAGAAAGGAAATCCAAACAACAGTTCATATACCATTCAGGCTGCAATGCTGTGATGGCTGGTTGTTTCGTGGTGATTCCAACATCCTGAAAGAGAATGGCAAAAAAATAATAATCATCTTGTTTATTGGGATTGGCACGATTGCAAATTAGGACACCACTATTTGCAGTAATTTAGAACAGATGCAATACAGGCAGGATAAGCCGATGCCACAAGGACAACAAATTTTGCCCGGGCACTTGTGCTAACCTTAAGAGAGGCAGAGCGTGGAGAAAGCTTACGGAAACCACATCAGCTTTTTGTCACAGGACCACAACTTGTGAAATAAGGACGTTCTGCCCAGGTTACCTAATTCAGCAGTGGCTTTATGTGAAAGGAGTGGTCTTGAAGGCCAAAGCCACAGCATCTTTCATTTCTATTTTTTTGTAAGGGAAGTAATAAAATAATTTGATTTGATTTGAATGAACCTTTCATGCAGAAGCTCAAACCTGTCTATATAATACACTCTCTTTCAATTTCCCCACTGAACTTGACTGACTGGGCTGTGTTCACAAGACATTATGACCCAATGTGAATTTAGTCATGGTCTAATCAGCTAATTTGGATTGACACACTATAAAAGCATGATGTGTTGGGTTTGTCACAAAGGGCTTAGTGAGCTAATTTATGTTCCGGGGTGTCAGTGGCGATGACTTGCCCAATTCACCCACTAAGTTTCCATGGCTGTCAATAAACCTGAAACTGTGTCTCTTGATCTTCATCTACACTTAGGTTAGCCTTCAGCAAATTATGGGAACAAAGCCACAAGCTCTCTTGATCTATCCACGACCCAAAGAGACTAGTTCTTCAGTTCTTTTGTAGCATCATTTATCTCAGGAGAACATTCAGTAAGACTTCATTTGCTTATTTTGTGCCTTCAAGTCAGAATTGACTCCTTGTGACTGCCTGGACTAGTCTAGCTAGTCTTGTTTTCTTGGCAAGATTTCATAAGTGGTTTGCCATTGCCTGCTTCCTAGGGCTAATAGGGAGTGACTGGCCCGAGTGACAAAGCCAGCTTGCTTTGTGCCAAAGGTGGAACTAGAACTCAGGGTCTCACAGTTTCTTGCCTCTAACAGGGCTTAGTTGTTTTCCTCAGCCAAAAGAAAAAAAGCAAACCCCTCTAGCTAACTTGAGCTTTTACTACTTGGAGAAGGCAATTGTCATGTCCCTGTTAGAATCTTACTCCAAGGGAGAGGAGGAACAGCCTACAGGGAGTGGGAGTGTGGCTTCAGAAGTTGTGGAGGAAACTGGGGAAGGGTACCGGCCAGCTGGGTATTCAGAGGAAGACCCAGGCCCATCCCCTTTTCATCCTAGGGAGGACCGGATAAGGGAGAAACGTGAATGGAATGGTCTACAGGGGAAGAAAGGGCCTTGATCCCCTTCATGGGCTGCAGCTGTGAGGACTGTTTAAAAGGACAAACTGCGCATGGGCTAGTGCTGGAAGCAAATCGTGAAAATATTTCTAGTCTGTCCGTTCTTACCTGACTTCTGGTGTCCTTCCCAGTGTGTGTATTTCGATATCTGTGGACGTCTTCAAGCCCTTATCCTGCCTTGTCTTATTAATTCTTCAGTGTGGTTTGTGTTGTTGTTTTTTTTCTATTTATAATTTATATGTATTTTGAGTTTGAACGGAAGTTCTTCCTTTTCGCAACTGTTTGTGGGGGAGTTTTTTCTCCAGTCAATGATAATTGGACCTTTAAAGCCAAGTTGAAGGAATTACAGGGACTTCACCTGTTTTTGTGACTTTGTTGCTTTTGTATCCCACCCTGGGTCATCACAGCAATATAAATAAAGTTCTGGAACTTTCTAAGCAGTCCACTGCTTTCTTCCTGGAACCTCAAGGTGTTCCTTTTTTCGGAATGAGTTTCTGAATCTGAACCAGCTTTCTGTGCTCTTTATCTCTGAACCACCTTCTGTTCCCCAGGGCATAAAGGCTCGGGATTTGTTACATACTTATATGGAAAAAGCCATCTTGGAGAAACTGCAGAGAAAAGACCCTGACGCCCATCGCGATGCCCTAGATTTTATCATCAACAGCGCCAAAGAACACGGCCAAGATTTCACTATGCAGGAATTGAAGGTGAGGATTTTTATGCTCCTGGGAGGGGTTAGTGGTTTCATGCAGGATTTGACAGTAGCCCCTGTTGGAAGATGGTGTCGCAGCTGGTGTGATTTTGCAGGATGTCTGGGTGGAAATATCTTGAATGATACTAGGGATTCCATGGTCAGTTGTCCCAGGGTACCGTAGCTTCCTAGAATACAAAGATTTGTCAGCAGTTGGTTTGTGTGTGAATAGAATAGAATAGAAAATAGAATAGAATAGAATAGAATAGAATAGAATAGAATAGAATAGCTGGAAGGGACCTTGGAGGTCTTCTAGTCCAGCCCCCTGCTTAGGCAAGAAACCCTATATCATTTCAGACAAATGGTTATCCAATTTCTTCTTAAAAACTTCCAGTGTTGGAGCATTCACAACTTCTGGAGGCACACACACACACACACACAGACAGCACCTGATTGAGGCTTTAGAGACCATACAGGTAGCCTTCATTTTCTGACTGCAATGTGACCATGACCTGTGACTTCCTGCTTGGTTCCCCATTGACTTAAGGGAAACTGGCTGTGAAAGTTGCAAATGGCAATCACATGAAAGAAGGTTGCTGCAACCATCATAAATGCACACCGGTTGCCAAGCCATCAAATTTCTATCACATGACTGTTATGATACTACCATAGCTGCAATTGGAAGGACCAGTCATAAATCTCTTTTCCGCCACTGTTTTAACTTTGGTCGCTGAATAACTAGTCAGTAAGTGGAGAACTACCTGTATAGCTATTTTGCTTTATTCTGCATTCTGTTAGCATGAGTAGTGATAACCTGGCTCAAATAGCAGAAAGTCAACTTGATCTTGTGCCATTCAATCCAGGGCATATTTTCTAAACTGTTTTAACCTCAGTGAGCTCTGTTTCTGCGAGGAATAATGGCTATTTAAATAAATGTGGAAATGCTATAAATGCTATGAAATATGTAAAGCTTTGATTTTGAGATTTGATTAAATCTCCTAATTGAATTGAGTTTCTGAACTAAATTGGAAAGTCATATAGAATCGTCTAATCCAATGCCTTTGAACTGACTCAATGTGACAAAACAACAACAACAGGTAAATGGTGTGAATTGAATTGGGTTGGAGCTAATCCATACCCTCTAATACTAGGTTACATCCAGATTAGACTACTATCATGCACTCTACTTGGAAATTTTCCTGAGGTAATTCAGTTAGTACTGGATATAGTGTGGGGGGAAAAAAATCCCAAAGACTTTTGCTCTTATGGTTTCTATTCTTCTCACTCACACTGGCTATTTCTTTTTGAGCCCTGATTGAAGGTGTTCCTGTCAAATGTTGATGCTGAAATGCAAGCCAATCAGTATTGTTCCTTCCAAATATCTTCAACTTCATCTACATACCCAGACACACAATGCCACAAAAATCCTCTCTTGTTCTTGTTTTTCTCCTCTTCTGCCTTCATCCTTAAGTACTTTAAAGGAAGGGAAAGAAAGAGAAGGGGGGAGAAAGGAAAATTGAGGGGACTTTGGAAGAAGTTCAGAGAAGAGCAACTAAGATGATCAAAGACCTGGAGAATAAACCAAAGAAGAAGGGCTGCAGGGTTGGGGTCTGGCTAGTCCAGGGGTGTCCAACCTTGGCAACTTTAAGCCTGGAGGACTTCAACTCCCAGAATTCCCCAGCCAGCTTTGCTGGCTGGGGAATTCTGGGAGTTGAAGTCCTCCAGGCTTAAAGTTTGCAAGGTTGGTGCTCAAGCAACAGACCCTATTACCAGAAGCTACGCTGGCTGGGGAATTCTGGGAGTTGAAGTCCGCAAGTCTTCAAGTTGCCCAAGTTTGGAGAGCTGCCTCAAAGCATGTGCAGAGTGCCTTGCCTTCCACCGGCAAGCAAGGCTTTCCAAACGGAAGGCCGCGTTTTTCCGGCCTTTCACGGCTAGGAAACTCCCGGCTTCAAGGCCAGCAATGGTGGGGAAGAGCTTTTTTTAAGCCAATCCCCTCTGCCTGACCCAAAGCCAACGGACCGACGGGAGCGAGGTTGGGACAGCCCAGCCTCGTGGATTCCCCCACCCACCCACCCCAAGGCAACGCTGGGGATGGCGGGTGCTCACCTGGATCAGCCAGTGCAGCGTCTCTCCCAAGAAGGGCCACCCCATGGAGCCCCTGGGCAACGGGAGGGCGCTGGCCCGGTCCCGGCTCAGCCTCCAACGCAGCGCCCAGAGGTGGCGGGCCGCTACCAGCAGGAGTCCCGCGGCGGCGGCGGTCACCAGCGCGGCTTCCAGCCAAGCCAGCGGGTCCCCGGAGCCCCGCGACGGCTGCGCCACCTGGCCGGCTTGGGCTGCCGGGGAAGAAGAGGGAAGGAATCAGCCGGAGGTGGGGGGAAGAAAGGCGGCGGCGGCACCCTTCTCCCCGTCCTTTCCATTGCCTGGAAGGAGAGGCTGCCTGTCCGAGGGCGCTGCCCGGAATCCCGGCTCTCCCGGCGTGTTTGGACTTGGTTCGGAAAGGACAGCCGGGCAGCCTTCGGGTCTCCTCCTTCCTCCTCTTCCCCGCCGCCCCCGCTCCCACCCAGGCTTCCTATCCGCGAGCTTCGTGCGCCTCTTCTCCCGGGACGCGTCGTCGGAAGCCGGTTCGGCCCAACAGAAGGAGCAGCCTGGTGCTCGCCTGAAGGCTCCGAAGCTGTTGCCCCTTTTCTCGTCCTCCTCTCCTTCCTTTCCTCCCTTTTTCCTTTCCTCCCTTCTTTCCTCCCTCCCTCTTTCCCTTCCTTCCTTGCCTCCTTTCCTCCCTCCTTTCCTCCTTTCCCTTTCTTCCTTCCCTCCCTCCCTCCCTCCCTTGAGCCAGCTGTCCATGAACCGCCCCGCATGCCCTACCCATGACCGAGTGAGGCTCCGCGGAGTCCCGCGCAACCTCTCGTTGCTCCCCTCGGTGTTTTTCATTGGGCTTCGCTTGGGCCTTTATAGAGCTCCGCCGACCCACCTTCACGGATGACGTCGCCGCTTGATATTCAAAGCCGGGCCCGGAAAGGCTGCGATTGGCGCCCGGGAGGGTCCGGCAGGGGGGATGGGGGAACGGGGTGTGTGTGTGAGTGAGTGAAATCTCGTCTTCTGGGCGAGCGGGGGAGCATCACCCAGGTATAAGCCACAACGGCGTCTCCTTCCCGCGGCTCCGAGTCAAGGGCAAGCTCTAGCCACGGAGGCGAACGGACTCTCCTGCACCCCCACAGGTGGCTCGCTGGGGGCTCAAGCCCTCCGCCTGTCTATTGTCCTGGAGCTGTTCCCATTTCTCAAGCTGATCGGTCGCTGTGTGTGTGTGTGCGTGCGTGTCTTCCAAAGCTCTCCCGTCACTACTAGCCACAATTACGGGGAACGAAGCCCAACATCCATTAGGCGAGGCTAAACTCCTTAGAGGAAGAAAATGCCAGGTAGAAGGAGGTTAAATTTGCAGCCCATTCGAGAGAATAGGACAGAATAACTGTATTGTCACTTTGAAGGTACACTAATGGGCGGACGTTAAAAATGAAATGTTTTCATGTGAGGCTGTCCACTCCAGCAGCAAAGGGGGCAAGACTAAAAGAAGAAGCCACGCATCCCTTATTGGGAGCTGAGCTCCACCGATTTCTTTAGGAGGTCTGACTTCCAGCTAAATTTAGAGGAAAGGGAGCCGCCCCTACAAAGCCAGTGAATCTACAACCCAAGAGACGTTGGAGCGCAATTCCCACCAGTTGGCTCAGAAAAGGAACTTGGGAAAAGGAGCCGATTTAAGCGTCGCCCGTTTTCCAGTTAAAGATAGGTTGGAAAGTAGAATTTAGGATTCGTGTCGGGCACGTCCGCTTTCAGGATACTCCATTGCAGTCTTGTACCCTTTGTAGGTTACAAAGGAGATACTTTCTCAGAATTAATAAGGCATTCCTCACAGCGAGTGATTTACAGCCATTTAGGGGGGTCGTCCGCCCATCAAAATAACGACCTCCAAATTAGCTTTACAACTCCCCGATGCTGGTAGGGTAGAAGAGGTTGTAAATCGCTAGTTACGAAATGCCCCAAGATTTTAAACTCGCAAAAAAAAGGAAGTCTGGCGAATGGAGGTTTACTTTGCAGAAACTGTCTGGATTCTCGCATTCCACCCCTAAAAGCGGATGGTGTGTTTGCTTGAGGACCGTATCTTTTCGTTGAGCCACGCGATTGGACGGGTGGCCAAGAGGTTTGTTTAGCTTTTGACCCAACGCGTTGTGTGAACCCATCTATTTTGACGATGCAAATTGAAATGACTTCCTTCAATCCCTCCTAGGCTAGCAGTTACCTGCGCCACGCGAACCAAGTTGCTCTGATCAAGATCACGAATTCAAGATCACGAATTCACGTAGTTACTGATTTCTCACGCAGTTGTGTAATCACCCGACAAGGGTCTCCAAGGATGCCCGGCGGACAACCGGCTCGCTCCTCCCGGTTACGCCGCAAGAAAGGCGGAGGGGATCTGAAGTCTCGGTCGGCTGGAATTCGCTTCGTACTGGCCAACGGGGGGGGGGGGCGGGGGGCTGTGTGTATGTGTGTGTGTGTGTGACTGCAACTCGCACATGGCCCCCGCGGGAAGGTCTCTGCTTCTCACAGCTTCCACTTTCGGGCTGGGATCCGCTTCTTGGGAGCACAAGGGGCCGCTGCATGTGCCAGAGCGGAAGGCCTGGGGTCTTAATCGTAAAAGCTCTCTTCTCTCAAAGGTGCTTTTTCAAGAGGCAACTGGACTTTCTGGGTTTTCTTTGAAGACGTTTCTCTCGGAGGTGAAGAAGCTTCTGGGATGAGAAGCGAAACGTCTTCAAGGAAAAACAAAGAAAGCCTAGTTGCCTCTTGAAGGGGAAAAAAAAAGCATATTTGGGGCAACCGGGACCTGGATGGTCGAGAATCTCCATAGACTTCTGGCTTCTGTCGCTCTTCACCCTGGATGCCACCGGCCTGGCTTGGCACATCTCCGGCATCAAGTCCTCAGTCCGCCTGCCAAGCAAGTCGGGTCAGAGCAGCTTTGGGCGAAGAACTGGCGCCACTCCGAAGCGTCACGGGAAGCCAAGTTCGCAACTGGTCCCAAGTCCCACGTTAACCGGGGAGACCAAGCAGGCAACCCCCATCTATTTTTGAGCTCGGTGTATAATCACCTTTGAATGGGAAAGTTGCTGGCCTGATCTGAACAACCCCCGCCCCCCGCATCACAATTCGCACCGGACTCCTAAACCTCTCATTGTTGCCCACGAAAGATCGTGGCCGCTTCCAGGAAGGAGAGGAGAACCCTTTGGCTCCTTCGCAAAAGACCCGAGATTCTCTCCCCCTCCCCAAAGGATGCCATAAGCGCGGCTGGACCTCTGCTCCATCGGCCACCCCTTGAGTGTCCGAAGCCGCATTTCCCCGGTTTGGAGCATACCGACCCGCCGGGCAGCTGCTCCACCCTGTCCCTAAATCCCGCGAAAGAAACCCAAAGTTTGTGGGGGAGGCGGCGGCTTGCAGCTTGGCTGCAGAGAAAAGATGCGGCTTTTCTTCTCTGTCTGTCTGTCTGTGTGTCTATGTCTGTCTGTCTGTCTCAAAGGCGAGTTTTAGAGCAGAGGTCCCCAAACTTAGTAACCTTAAGACTTGTGGACTTCAAGCTATGCCGGCTGGAGAATTCTGGGAGTTGAAGTCCACCAGTCTTAAAGTTGCTAAGTTTGGGGACCCCCGTTTTAGAGGGGTCTGGAAAGAGCCCCCAGACGCGCAGCGTCGAAGGAAATGTAGAGGGCGAAATAACCCGCTGGAGAAAAGCTGCCCGGGGACTTTTGCCCGTAGCGCGTGGCCGGCGCACCCAGCGGCTCAGCTAAAGGAAGAATCTGGGTTTACAAACGAGGGAGTTTTGCAGGGCCATCAAATAATTTAATCATCGGCGAGGGATGGGCCGAAAGTGGACCTTCTTTATATATGAAGCCCCATCGTTATGGGGCATTCCCTTTATGATACATTCGCTTGTCTTCCCAGCAAAGAAGCTGAGCACCTGGACCCCAGGAAAACACCCCTTTCCTGCCCCCTCCCATGGCCCTCGTCCAACGTAAGGCCGACCCCCGGAGATAAAAATCGAAGGGAGCCGGAGGCTGCTCCCCAAAGTCAAAAAAGTCGTTCGCTACGACACCATCGGGACTTGAGTTCGAGTTAGGTAGTTTAAAGGCTACTACAAAATAGCTCCTCGCACTTTGGCTCCCCACCCCACCCCTCAATCTGAAAAAAAAAAGGGGGGGGGAGAAATTCTGATCTCAGGATTACTTAAGGCTTACAACATACAAACATAATGCGGAAGTAGGGAAGCAGAGGAGCAAAGTTGGAAATGTCCGGAGTCGAGAAAAATCGCTGGTGGTGGGATTAAAAAGTGGGGGACCTTGGAGCAGAAAACACTAAATGGCCTTTGGGGGGGGGGACTGGGAGGGGGGAGGGGGGGAGAGAAGAGGGAGGATCTTGAGGTCTTCTCCGAAGATCGTGTTTACAAGGAAGCACGGCAGGGACGTTTCGCCTTCGCCAAAAAAAACAACCACAAGGCAGCGGCCCGCTTCCCCCTTGGCAAGGCCTGGCCTCCTTTCCGAAGACTGCAATGCAGGGGAAGGGCGTCCTTTCCCTTCGGCCGGTCCCTTCCAGGGCCTCCTTCTCGTTCTCCGTCAAATCAGCGGCCCTTTCACCGGAACCAGCTTCGCGGGAGCCCGGCTGGGCGGCGGGGTGGAGGTGGGGGTGGGGGTGTGAGGTGGGTCGGGGCGGGGCCGCTTCTCACGGGTGCTGGGCGATGCAGTTGGCCAAGCCCCGGAGCTGCCGCACCACCGTCTCGATCAGCTTCTGTTTGTCGCGGTCGTTCTTGCGGAACTGGGCGAAAAGGTGGTTCTTTTTGTTCACGTCTTTCATCCTGAAAGGGAAAGCCGAGAAAACAGAAGGTGCAAGGGAAGCTCTTGGGAGAAACACCCCCGCCGCACTACGGTCCAATTCACGAACCCAGCCTGGGGCTTCTTCCAGCCTCCACCAAAAGCAACTTCCAGGATGGGCCTTCTTTTCAAGGTAAGCCAGGTCTCTCCTTTAGTTTGTTAGAAGGCGGAGGTCCCAGAAGGAGAGCTAGGAGGTTTTTTGGGGGGTGGGGGAGGGAGGTGTTCCACTATCTTGGAAGGCTTGAGCCCCTTCTGCTTCTTGGGGAAAATAATCAGGATGACTTGGAGATCGCCCAATTCGGCCTACCAGCCCCGGAGATGCCAGTTCAATAAGGCGGCTATTTCTATCCCAACCCCACAAGTTTACAATGCTGAGGAGGGAGAGGCTGTAGTTCCAAGAGGCCCTCATGCAGCGACACCCCAACAAAAAAGCCGAAGTGAAGGGCAAGGTCTCTTTAAAGAGAGCAAGACCCCCCCCCCGCCCGGCTCCATTATACAAAGAACCATCCAAAGTTTGGCTCTTTCCAACGAAGCTTCCCACGAGTTCTAAAATGAATCGTGGGGGAATGGATTCCAGATCAAAACGAATCGAAAGGATGCTTACCCTCGGTGGACTCTGCCAAACGTCCCGGCGTAGCAAGCAGGAGAGAAGGCGGGGGTGAAGAGGGAGAGAGAGAGAGAGCGCAAACGAGTTAGCAGAAGGCGAAATCCCACCGATCTGTAGAAATACCCGGGAACGTTTGGAAAGAACATCGCAGCCATAAATCAGACACCTCCCCGCTTTGCGTTTACCTTTCAGATTCAGTCAGCCTAGCTCATCTTTGTTCTCTCGCGCTCTTTTAAACTTTTAAAGGTGTGTTTTGTTTTGTTTGTTTTTTAACCCGGCAATTTGAGGAGCAGCCAGGTCCCCGGCAATTTGAGGAGCAGCCAGGCCTGGAAACCCAGCTTGTTTTTAACCCAGAAGATCAACAATTTGCCGAAGTCCAGCGGACTTCGAAAGGGAACTACCGGATTGATTTGCTGATTGATCCAAAGAGGTGGGGGTGGGTACACAAACCGAAAGGAATCCTGGAGAACAGAAATAGGAGATCAGCTGAAGAGCAAAAGCGTCTCAGAAGAGGAAAGGCGTCTCAGAAAGCCCCAGATGCTGAGCCAAGGAAAGCGCGTCCTTCCTACGCTGAGCTCTGCAGGGCCCAGCGGGCCTATAGTCTATTTCAAAGACCCTGGGTGGGTGGGTGGGTGGAAGAAGGGTGTTTTCTTGTTTGCTATTCCGGCAGGCACAGGACCAGAGGCGGCTCCACCGCCAACCTTCCTAACCAGCTGTTCGGCCAACCGCTCGGGTCGAAGAAGGTGCAGAGCCCGCAGTTTTAGGCTTCTGGAGGGAACGGCTGGCTCTTCTTAGTCGTGTTTTGTTTTTTTTTTAAAGAGGGGGGGAGCGCTTGGCGTCTGGGAAAGCAGAAAGGACCAACGGACCCGGATTTATTTATTTGGGGTCTCCTCCAGCACAGCCCGCGCAAAGCCAGAGCTCTCCGCCGCCACTTACTTCTCCAAGAGGGCCAAAGCTGTGCTGGGGTTGACGCGCAGGTACTTGGAGCCGGGCTGCCCGTAATCGGCCAGGTAAGTCGACCAGTCCCACACCATGAAGAGATCCAGGAGCTGCGGGAGACAAAGCGACAGAGAAGGATCAGAACAAGCCCACCCTCGGCGACTTCATCGGGACGAGCCTGCAAAACACACACACACCCCAGCCCCCAACTGGCTTTTCCGTCCCTCCCTGCAAGTTGCACCACGCTCAATCCGAGGCCGTCGGGAAAGCGAAGGGAAGAGAAATCCCCTAGCAAGCCGTTCACTTCAAACCCGGCTGGATGTGCCTGGGGATGCTTGCTCGGTGCCCCACCCCGTGCTGAAGGATCGGCTGCCTTTGTCCGAATCCTTACGCTGCTACTTGGAAGATTCCCTAAAACCTAATCTATGTCGTTTTGTTACTTCTGTTACTTCTACTCCTGTCTCTGAATTTAGTTACTGGTACTTTTCTCTCCTTCGGGCTCCCAGCGGCGTGACGACGCATCTGCCTTCATTCAAAACTAAGCGAGGAACCAAGAACCCGATGCTGGAGGATGAACGGGCCGGGCGAGACTTTCCCTCCGGTCACTCTTTTACCACCCCCACCACCCCCGCCCCGCCCGCAGCTCTTCCCTGGCTTCAGAATCCGCCGCTGGAGCTGCCTTCCAATCCCGACGTAATCTCTTTAAAAGCCCGGGTGACTCTGGCAGGAAAGCGGCAGCCCCGTCTCCAATTTGAAGTCCTAATCCCCGCTAAAACCACTTAAAGCCGACTTCCGAGCCGCGGCTCTCCATTGTTTCAGGCTCTCGACCGACCCCCCCCCCCCCCCCCCCCAGCGCCGGGCGCGGATCAGAGTCTCTTCCACCGGGTTTCCTTCCTTTCCCCTCCCCCTCCCCGTCCCGCAAACTCCCATCCCGGCGGTTCCTGCGAGGTGGTTTGTTTTGACTTCGCCGCGAGCCGAGCC